GGAGTCATTCTAATACCTATCTATAACAGGTACGTTTCACAGAGCCATACGAAACCTACCCCTCTTGCACAAAATGGCTTCTTCTTCCGATCATTGCCAATGATATAGTCACAGCTCTCATTGGGGCGATTGATGAGCTTAGCCCCGGCCGCCACCAAGACAACTTTCCACTGATCTTCAACCAGCTGATACACCGCAATGGACAATTTAAAAGGAATGAATATGGGTGATATGGTGTCCCGGCTCTTATTGCATCACCCAACAATACCAAAAGTACCACCACCAGTTAATGAGGAATCTAAGTGGCTGTGGTGATCTCACCCATATGTGCGAACAACCAGCACAGCCAGAACCCCGTGCAGCCCAATATTTGACACGAATTAAGGATCTCACAAGTATATACAACTTCAACCGTCCCCAACACCCGAGTCTCAACAACCTTCTCTTTCAGCTTGATTAAGACCGTTTTGCCCTCGAATACCCGGTATTTCCGGTTGGCAACGGGTATGGCTACTTGGCCTGGTACGGTGACTTTGCCTGTGGCCAGGCGGTAGTCTTTGGTGGACAGCAGGTAGTTGGCCGATACACACGCCTCGACCCAATCATAGCGCACACAGTGCAGAGCTGTGGTGGGGTGTACGCTGAGTGTCAGTATCAGGGTTTGGTACCAAACCATCACTTATAAATGGCGTTTTATGTTTATGTTTTGGGTCTATGCTCGACAGTATCAAGGTTTTGTGCCCACAAAGAAATGGTGTTTACGTAAATATTTTTCGGGCCTATACTCGACAGGGGGTCCAAAAGTACAGATACCATAAACGTTTTATACGTACGCCACACGTGAAGATACGGCATGAGAAACAGTTGTGTGGTGCATGATGCTGGTAGAGCTCAGGGATACTAGATATCTACGCGGGGTACTTCTAGGGTTTTGGGTTTGGTTAGGTAAGAACTCGTGGCCTGGAACTGTGATCAGCCTGATACATACACATCAAACGAAGCACAAACTACTACTGCATATTCATGTGCTCGTACTTGTACTTGTACTTGCACTGAACCACACCCCAACCACCCGACCATACGAAGTAAACGTACTACTATGTAAGTATGTACTTGTACTTGTACTTGCACTGAACCACACCCCCAACCACTCGACCATACGAAGTAAACGTACTACTATGGAAGTATGCACTTGTACTTGTACCTGCACTGAACCACACCCCCAACCACTCGAGCCCTACACATACACATACACATACACATACACATACACATACACATACACATACCCAACGCCAACCCAGCCATGTACGTGACGGTACGCAGCTCCTCTGCCGCAATGATATACACAGAGCTGAGAGTGTTGGACTTAATCTCATCAATACGTTCGTAGATAGTTCCCCCGTGCGAGGTTAGGTCGCTGACTAATTTTGCCTTATTAGGGATCTTTTTGGCGCCGGTTATGAGGAAGCCCATGCCGTCAAAGGGATGCGACGGAAGCTCTGGGGAAGAAGATTGGGATGGGAAAATACCAAAATAAATAAATTAAGTGGTAAGATACGGTACAGAAAATGAGAAAATGAATACCAATACCAAAACAGACGCAAAATTGGGATGAGGTAGCCCCAAAAATAAAATAAATGCCAATACACGGTACAGAGAAACAATAGATATCAATACCAAAACAAGATCTTAAGCAACGGAGAACGTGGATGAGAAGCACAATTGGGATGGGAAAACATCAAAAATAAATTAAATGCCAATACACGGTACAGAAAACGAGACAGTGAATCGAAACAAGAAAGTAAACAACGGGAAAGATGGATGAGAGGGGCTGTGGAGTGGGACCGGACCCAAAATTGATTCATGAGATGAAACGGACGTACAGATACGCTTGCAACCAGTTAACAATAAGAACTCTAACCCACGGTTATAGTCCCCACTACAAGTAACTAGTGCTTCGCACATACATAGAGCTATAATCAAGTATACAAAATGTACAATACCTATCACATACATATAGCTACAATCAAGCATACATAATGTACAATACCTATCACTTACATACAGCTATAATACCATGTACCTTTCACATGCAATAGCTATAACCACGCACAACTAATGTACAACCCCTATCACTTACATACAGCTATAATAACAAATACCTTTCACATGCATATAGCTATAACCACGTACACCTAATGTACAGTATCCATCACTAACATACAGTTATAGCAACAAATACCTTTCACATGCATATAGCTATAACAACGTACACCTAATGTACAATACCTATCACTTACATACAGCTATAGCAATAAATACCTTTCACATGCATATAGCAATAACAACGTACACCTAATGTACAATACCTATCACTTACATACAGCTATAATAACAAATACCTTTCACATGCATATAGCTATAACAACGTACACCTAATGTACTATACCTATCACTTACATACAGCTATAATAATATATACCTTTAACATGCATATTGCTATAACCACGTACACCTAATGTACAATACCTATCAGTTACATACAACTATAATAACATATACCTTTCACATGCATATAGCTATAACCACGTAAACCTAATGTACATCGTACATACCTGTCTCTAACCCATCACCCCTGACGTCCTCCAGTGCCACGGGTTCGTACTCCAGGATACACTCAGGCACATCACCTTCGTACAAGGCAACGTGATACTCTGAGATCAAGCGTGGCTCTCCATTCCCTGGACAGATGGGACCACGGTTATAGTGTGGGTATATATAGCAATCGGATGAGTGTGTGTGAGAGGTAAAGTACGTTTGTAACAGATGTAATAATAGAATACAGTAGCAATGCGTACATGTAATTGTATAGTACAGATATTCATACGAT